AGTTTTCTATGTTGTTAAAGACTTGGAAAAATATCCAAATAAGAATACAATTTCCTGAAAATCAGGTGAAATTCAACTTCCAGTGTACATAAATAAAGTTTTATTGGAACACAGCTAAAAATATATATATATCTGTAGACATCGTGGGAGATTACACTCAACATTATGAGACAAAGTGGATGTGAACTGCTGTATGGAAGATGAATTTGCTCTGCAAACTTTCACCTAAATCACAATAAAATTAAAAATATGCATATACACATATATAGAGCACGTGCTGTTCATTCAGTCATTCCAAGAACATTCACTGAGGGTCTAACTATGTGCCCAGAGTCCTTGGGTAGTGTAAACAGTTACTGTGCTGCACTGCTAGCCCAGAGGCTAGAGGCTTCAGTCCATCCAGAGGTCCCTTGGAAGAAAGGCCTAACGGCCTACTTGTGACAAATCAGTCACTGCAAATCCAATGGAGCACATCCTACTTTGACACACATGGGGTCTCCATGAGTGACAATGACTTGACAGCCACTGGTTTGGTTTTACTATGTACTCGCTTTTCCCCATTCATCTGCTTAGGTCGAGGGTTCCCTGAATCAAAGTTTTCCAAACTGAGCAGAATTTTTTTAAACTAAAACTTTTTCCTCACCTCCATGTCTACAAGAAGTTAAGGAAGAGGGCAACTCAGGGTCATGGAAATGCTGTGGGCCCCTGCACACCAACGCTACCCAGGGCCTCTGCTGCTGACAGAAACTAACCTTTGAGTTGCATATATCCCCTTTTACAGATGAGCACAAGGGAGTTAAAAATGTGCTGGGCTCACATGTGACAGTGGCACCAAGTTAAACCTGGAATACAACTCTGAGTGTGATAAGAGATGGGCCCAGACTCCAAGCAGTTTAAGTTTAGGCAGGACTCCCTCCTCCAGGCCTTGGTAGAAGGTAATTGGTAGAACACGTTCTAAGGCTGACAGAGAATTCGGGATTTCCCTTAATCCTGGCCCACATGGTTTTCTTTCTCTGTCAGTTGGACTGGACAAGACAATACCCTACCTAGCTGAGTAATTGTTAATCTGGGTCATATTTGAAGGTTCCTAGGAGTGAAGTCCAAGGAGCAGGGGCTTCATATACCAAAGTAAAAGCTACTATTTGAGTAGATAATGCTTTGTGAGCATTTGACAGTCATTAAAAACACTACCTAATCTCCTTACGGGTCCCTGGGTAGCACAGTTTGCAATTGACCACTAATTTAAAGGTTGGGGGTTCAAACCCACCCAGAGGTCCCCTGAAAGAAAGGCCTAGTGATGTGCTTCCATAAAACATTACAGTCACACCCTCCTGTGAAGAACAGCTCTATTCTGAAACACACGGGGGCACCAGGAGTTGGAATCGACTTGATGGCAACAGGTCTGGTTTTCTGTTTGTTTGTTTTTGAAATCTCCTTAAAGATCTTGTTGTTAGCTGAGGTCAGGTCAGCCCCCGACTAACGGCGACCCCATGGACAACAGGACTGGACTGTTATGAAACACGTGTTCACTGGCTGGTTTTGGGAAGGAGATGGTCAGGCCTTTCTTCCTAGTCTGTTTCAGTCTGGAAGCGCTGCTGAAACCCAGTTAGCATCATAGCAACACAAAGCCTCCACTGACAGACCAGTGGTGGCTTCGCTTGAGGTCTGCTGGCTGAGAATCCATCCCAGGTATCCTGCATGAAAGGCAAGCACTCTTCCACTGAACCACCACTGCCCCCTTAATAACCAACTCACAGCGATCCCCACTGAATTTCCAAGGTGGTAAATCTTTATTGAGGTAGATTGACCCATCTTCCTTCCGTGAAGCAGCTGGTGGATTTGAACTGCCAACCTTCTAGTTGGCAATCAAATGCCTTAGGCATTGTGCCACCAAAGCTTCTTTCAATAACCCTAGGAAACATACGTTATTTCTATCCCCTTTCACAGTTTTGTAAGGAAACTGAGGAGTTAAGTATTGTATTCAAAGTCATCTAATTAGTAAGGGTCAAGGCTAGTTTTGGAACCCAGGCAACCTGACCACCATGGCCACACTCTGAACCACTGTTGGGCACTGCTTCCCCTCTGCTGCTGGGGAATGTAGGAGGTAGTAGGATTGATTCCGCTGAATGTCACATTGTGTTGGCTCTCAGCACACGTGGGCTGTGGGACTAACCACCTCAGTCTTCTGAGACCTCAGCATAGCACAGCCATGAATCATTACCCTCACTCAGCTAAGCATTAACTTTTCCACTTGAGTGGGCATCACATACCCGGACTGGCTTCCCTTTTTAAGCTTCAGCTTGTGGCCAGAAGCGTACTGACTAGTTCTGACGTGGTCTTTGTCTGTGGCCTACACAGCCCCTCACTAGATCTGATTCTGACATCACATAAAGCTGTCCAGAAATTTTCCCTCCCACACTTCCATGATGACCTCACCCAACCCTCCCTTATCCAATATAAACTTCTCAGTCTTCCTCTCTGCTTATGGTAGGTAGGAGAAAGTGCTCTTGAGAGAAAGAAGAGCCATGCAAAGGGATTTTAACTTAATGAAACTGGACAAAATGGCTTTCCTTCATGATTTATAACAACAACAAAACACAGTTGCTGTCACGTCAATTCCTGCTCATGGAGACCCCATGTGTTGCAGAGTAAAACTGCTCCATAGGGTTGTTAAAGCTCTGAACTTTTGGAAATAGATTGTCAGGCCTTTCTTCCCAGATGCCTCTTGGTGGGTTCAACCATCAGCCTTTCGTTTAATAGGCAAGCTCTACACTGTTTGTGCCATCCAAGGACTCCTATAATTTAGGACCAAACTCACTGCTATCAACTTGATTCTGACTCATAGCAACCCCCACTGGGTTTTCAAGGCCATAAATCTTTACGGAAGCAAACTTCCATCTTTCTTCTGTGGAGCAGCCAGTGGGTTTGAACCACCAACCTCCTGGTTAGCAGCCAGATGCCTTAACCACTACACCACCAGAGCAGCTCTCCCTAAATAATCATCTATAGCTGCTAGGCTGTGCATCGTACTACCATGTCTCTTATCTTTACATAACCCTGCAAGGTAAGCATTCCCATTCCCATTTTATAGGTAAAGAAGGTGAGAGAAGTTAGTTAACTTCCCTAAGGTCACACAGCTAAGAAGGAAACAGAGCTAGAATTTATACCTACATGCCCCTGGCTCTATTGCCTCTGTGTATGTGTGTATGTGTGTATGTGTGTGTGTGTGTGTGTGTATGCCACCACACCACACTGCTTCACTGCAGGCTGCCAGAATTTGGAGTAAAGAAAGATACACACATATATGTGCAGTGGGCTGGACACCTTATGGAAGCACCTGTAGAGGAATCCGTGGACAGATTTCAGGGTTTTCAGAATCTCCCCTAAGACTGTTTGCTCCAACACACAATGTTGCATTTGTGAATTTTTCTGGGAAGTGGATTTACTGCTCCTGTCAGATTGTCAAGTAAGTTAACCTTGAAAAAGTTTAGGAATCCCTGCATTTGATAGGCATGAAATGGTACCACTAGTCTACCTCCTCCATCTCATCACCACCCTTGCTGTCATAATTAGGGCTTGGTGAATGGAGGATTAGTCTAGGAAGAAGTGAACCTGGCCCCTGAGACTACAACAGACCTTCACGGGGAGAAGGTGGGGAATTGCAAGAGGTCCCAACAAATAGGTGGAACAA